TCCACTGATTCCTTGTATATTAAAGGAGAAAACTATTATGGAAGGAGCAAACAATCATGGAGGATGAGACACATGCTTGTACAATATTTTGCTGGACCTCAGAGGAATATCAATTGTGGATCTTACTGTTGCCATTAAAGGGGAGAATGGCTTAGTGGTCACAAACAGCAACACCAAGAACAAAGATTTGAATCACTTTTTCTGAATGCTGCACAACTGAGCAGGTGACATATGGGTCATATGGGTCATATGGGTCGTGACTATGTGGAAGAGACCCATGCTGGAGCAGTTGTCAGAGAACTGTGACCCCGTGTGGGAAGAACTCACGTTGGAGCAGTTTGTGAAGGGCTCTCCTGTGAGAGGGACCCCACGCTGGAGCAGGGAAAGACTGTGAGGAGCCCTCCCCTGAGGAGGAAGAAGCGGCAGAGACAACATGGACTGACTGCAACCCCCATTCCCTGCCCCCCTGCACCGCTGGGGAGGGGGGAGAAGGTAGAGAAACCGGGAACAAAGCCTTTGGGCCTGGGAAGAAGGGGTGGGGGAGAGGTGCCTTTTTAAGATGTAGTTCTCTTTCTCATTATCTTGCCCTGGTTTTTTGATTGTTAACAAATTAAATTGTTTTTTTATTTTCCCAAGTCGTGTTGGTTTCTTGCCTGTGACCATAAGCGGTGAGTGAACCCTCCCCGTCCTGGCCTCAGCCCACGAGGTTTTTAGCAAGAGGCTGTGTGGTGGCCTTTAAACCAGGACAGCTGTATACAATCCAAAACCAAACACAAAGGACCTTAACAGATTTTCAAGCAGAAGTACTGTTCTTAAAGGAACTGGCAGGAGGCTCTACTGACCATACCCATTGCTTCCCAACTGCAGATGGAAAGGATCCAACCCTTTTATGACAGCTACTCCAAAGTTCTGAAAGTGGTAAACTTCAGGCATCATCCTATAAATCAACAGCTAACCCAAAACGAAGTCCCCACTGATAAAAGCTAGAGCATTAGCAAGAAGACTTAAGTACCATAAACTGCACAGATGTATCTGTCCATAGGCACAGGAGAAAATACCACCTGTACAACTTAGGAGCAAGTACCTCACCGTACTTCAATAATCACCAAGTTCCCAGATCTGTAAGAGATATTTATGCACCTCAATCCCTTTGGCAATGTTGGGTCTAAGGTGTTTTAAAAATCTCATCCCAAAAGTACAAAGTATCTATGAATTTCCAGGTCGTTTTCACTTCCAGCTACTTCTATTCGATGCTGTTCTTGCCTGATCTATAACTTATGTTAAAACACATGGCACCCTATTTACTAAAAATTCCCTCAAAAATGTGCATTCCTTAAATCAATTCTCAACAGCTTCAGATCTGAGATCAGGAAGGGGGTGGAGGGGAGAACCTAATAGTGCTTTGTTGTTTTTCTGTTGGGGTTTGGGGTTTTTTTTATTCTTTTTTTCCTATGAAGCTAACTAAAGCAGCCAAAAGTTATTTAGAGTTAGTTTATGAAGTGAAAATTCTATAAATTGTAGGAGAAAGGCAATTTAATCTTAGTTCCAGATATTGAAATGCTCAATATACATTTAAATAAAGCCTTCATAAAGGTTATTATTAAGTACTTTGGAGAAAGACTTAGGAAAAATATTGCACATGCATTCAGTAGGAATCCCCAGTGGTTGTCTCATTTAACTCATTACATACACACGCACACACACAGAGTGCTAATTGCACTCCAAAAGAAAACTGCAGGCACAGACTGCAAGAAATGATGTGGGTCCTTCCTCTGGTTCCCTCCTCCCGACGGACGCCTACTATTCTAAAAATTCCCCACAGAAAAAGAGAGTGCTAATTGTAGCTATCACAAAGTGTTTTTCCATCATCACAGAAATTTAATTCATAAATTTGAATCAATGCACACGCAGAGGCAGGGGCCAAGTAGAGGCAGGAGTGATGATGGATCCATGTAGCAATTCCTTCTAGCAGGGAAAATTTAAATACACATCAAGAGCATAATCCTATAATTGGCAGATCCACTTCAAAATTTGAAAAGCTTATTTTCAGCCTCTTAAAGCTAACTGATGGAAAATCTTCCTGCAAGAACAGCATGTAGCCTAGGCACTTGTCTCCCATGTCACAGAGTTACCACAAAATCCATTAGTTCCCACTTCGTGGCTTATTCTCTTAAATTTTTCTGGGAACATGGTGGGACTTCTTTTTGTCCTCAGAAGCAATAAGGTGCTTAGCTCAAATCTCAGTACCTGTTAAGACTTGGGAGTTCATGCTGTCTTGTGCCATTCAAAACTTCACAAGATTCTCAGGCATGTAAGGAAAGGGGTAGAACACAGAACACTCTCACGTCACTGTATCAGTTAATGGTACGAGCTCATCCGCAATATCAAAGGCAAGGCCACATCTCAGAAAGATCAAAGAAAATAAAAAGAACAATCAGGACCTTGAAAAATCTCTCACAGAACCGACTTTAAAAAAACCCTACAAACTTGCAGACCACGACAGAGATGTTAATTTGGAGCAAACTGGACAAAGAATTATAAGCCCAGAGAGAGGATGTCTGTTCTCCTCAACTCAAGACCTGAAAGAAATCGATGTTAGCTGATGAGCACTCACAATCAATCTTCCATTTAGGGGCTAGCATTAGGCTCCAAGAGCAAGCCTGGGGAGCAAACAGGAATGAGCTAGCACTGACGGTGACTGATTTCAGGACAGGCTGTGGGACTGCAGTTGCACTGGCAATACCAACACAAGAGGCTGTCCACAGGTCAGATCTCCATCCCTCCTCCCAGGCTTGTTCTCCAGCATCAAACATCCAATGAAGAGAGAAATGATTAATGCATTAATTCTTCTGGAGAGCTATAGTCAACCTGTACTAGTGGAAACTGCCCCTTTCTCCCTGTGCCCTAATACAAGTGGGACCATGGGAATGCGTTTTCTTTAGGCCTGCTTACCACCAACAAGCAGTTACTCAAGTGTAAAGGCAAGAAACCGCTTTATGCCTACACACAACTGCATTGCAGCCACTCACACCACCTCCTGCAAGAGCAAGGTTTAGGTGAAGCACGGCAGGCAGATGCTCAATTCAGGCCTGATGTAGGGTAAAAGCAAACAATAATTTTCCAGCAGAGACACGTGCTCACACCTGGCCTGCAGTGCCTTTATTCTAAGCAATTCTCTGCTTTACCATCTCTCCTGAATATTCTAAAATGAAACAGAAGCAGCACTTGTTCCAACCATGACAGAACTTCAGTTTGCTTAGAAATAAGAAAAATGAAGGGGAGGGCGAGCTGTGAAGAAATCACTCTGCAAATTACAGGAACTGTGGTACAGCAAGGAAGGGTGGGCTTTCAATGGCCTCCAATAAACAATACATATGCATCTTCTGTCTGAAAAAGGAATCATGCAGCTAAGTGAACATACCTCTGCAGACAGTATTTCTGACTGAGGTACAGAGGCCCTGTTGGACAGGGAACCAGACAAATCCAGGAGAGCAGGAATCCCTGCCTGGACAGCAGGGACAGTTCACACAGACACGGTGACAAAAGGAGGGAGAGAGACCCAAGATGCAATCAGGGTTACAACAAGAACATGTTGAGCCAACTTAACCACTGGGAAGGAAAGACAATCTCAGTTCTAGAAAATAAATGTTGCTTTGTTCTCTATTTACAAACGTAATTCTCAAGTGATGAAAAATTGCGAAAAGGCAGTCGAGTCGTGCATCAAAACTGGAAAAAGAAACCAACTTATGCAAACTTCAGTAAAAAAATAAGGAAATAAAATAAGTTTGCGTAAAATTTATTTTTCTGTAATATTATACAAAGTTATATTTGTAGCAGTATTTGCAATCTTATCCATATTTGTATCAATTAATTAACTTAGCCTCAGCCTACAACCTGTGTTTTCTATGTGCTGGAGTAACTGAATGCCCCAGCTTCACGGAGGAAAAACTTCAGATCTATTACACACCTCTTTACCCAAACACCTTCTGAAGATTACTTTTTGTATCCATAGATAAAACATATAAACTATCATTAGATTATACATACACTATTGATTAATTTTCAAATTTTAGCTTAATATTGGCTAATAAGCTGCCTTTAGAAAGAAACATTCATGTTCTTGCCACTAACGAACAGGTGGGCCTTCTGTTATTAATTACGGGCTACAGAGACAACACTTAGGAGACAAAAAAATTATCATAGTTGTCAAAAGAATTAGTGTTGCATTTAGAGGTTTTTATGCAATTTTTCTGTGCTTAGATTTTACAAAGATGCTCAACCACAGCTGAGAAATGCTAAAAGTCATTACTAGAATGTACCAATATCAACAGCTTTATACTTGGGGACATTTTTTTAAAGCAAGGGTATATCAGCAAACCCCTTGGTTTTGTAAGAGGAATGTACAAATAGCTTTCAAAACTCCCGTGACACTGAACTAGAACTTTGGATTTATAATTAACAAATCTAATAACAGACTTAAAAGAGCCTTGATTGGACCTTTTTATGTCAGAGCAATTTATTGTGACAGAAGATTATTTTACCAGTTTGGAGATAGCAATCTTTCTCTGAAAGAAGATACTTCCAAGAACTCAAGTGTTTACAAACAAGCAGGAGTTTTCAACAGAGAACATCTTATATATACACAGCAGGAAAAAAAAAGATATACAACTGGCAGGTTGAGGATTTCACTTACAAAGCACTTAAAAGAAAATGGAGTTCCTTTGAAAATTCATCTCCCAGTGTGGGTTGCAGAGTCAGCTTTTTGAAGATTAAACAACTTTATAAGGAAGGAAATAATATGGTAGAGATTAAACTTCAATTTCTGTTTCACCTGTTTGACTTTGGGCACTTCCATGCTTTGGCTACGTACAATTTGGCATTAACATGAAAGCTAAAAAGATTTTACCATATCCAAAGTCACAGGAGTGAGAAATGTCCTCTGAAGAAAGCCACTATATATATATTTTTTTTTCTTTTTTCTTTTTTAAGACAAAACATACCCTTAAGTCTGGAGAGAAGTTGTCTGCCGACGTGGAGAGCGAGTCAGACGATATAGCAGAAGCAGATTTGGTGTGAGCAGAATGGTCCGAGTGAGAAGTGGAAGCGCTAGAAAGAAAAACATCACAGTGTATCAAACCCATGCTCAAGGATGCTCAAAAGCCAACAAGTATGGCCACTCGCATTTTGCACTATTTCCATCCTTTCCATTCGCAGTTATTCAGCCCTCAGCAGTGGTTTAAGAGAACCTGTTTTACTCTGTTGCCACAGATTACCAAAGCGTACACAATTCATTAACAATTCTCTGCTCAGATGGAGCCAACATTATCACAATTGCAAACTTAATCAAATCCTAAATCACAGAAACTAAGGGCTTCCCTTTCAGGCTTTCAGATGGGAGATATTAGAGCACTGCAAGAGGACGAAAACAGACAGACTCCTGAATGCGTGCCAGCACAACTCCAACCGCAGCTTTACAGCAATGGAAGAAATTCAGAATAAAAACTCCTTCCATCACACACAACTTTCCTCCTTCAGTTATAAGTACAACCCTCAGGAGAATTAAAAAGACTCTCCCAGCATACCTCTCTGGCGATACAAAGTGTGATTTGCTAAATAACAACACAAAACAGTGATTTCCTTCTTCTATAGTTTTCTTAGCATAGCTGTAAGCAATCAAAATAAGCTTCTTTTATAGCATTTTTATGCTGCAACCTCTCCTAGAACCACAATTGCTTAAAATTAGCATTTGATCATAATGCTCTTAAAACTCCAGATGACTGTAAAGAAAGATCCTCCGTTGTATGTTACTCCCTGAAGCCACAATACAGCAGCAAACGCCACCTGTGCCAATTAATTCCCACACTGCTACCAACGCCAGAAAGGTACTACCTGGGTGCAAAGACACTCTTGAGGATCAGATATAGGGCTTGCAAGCCTAGCCTTGGCCGAAACAGAATACCAGCAGGAGGATTACTGTTACTAGCTGTATTAATTAGACATGTGACAACCTAGAAAGAGTTATATCTGAGCTTCTAAAGGGCCTGGAGATCTGTTAATTGTCTGAAAACTATTTTGCTGCTGGTAAACTGCCACCAAAAGGCCAAAATGTTCCATTTTTATTTCTATTCTTTGCAGTTTGGCAACGTATTACACAGGCAGCATTAAAAACATGAAGGACTACAGCAAAATTGGGCTCTTGCTGGGTGTCAGCCTTTCTCCCCAAGGATTAAAGAGTACTGGCAATTCTTTCATCCTATGAAGTAGAGACTTAGAAATGGAACCCTTGGGAACAGTAAAAAATTATTTAAAATAAGTGATACTGGTGTGCCAATTGAATAGCACAACTCCACTGAATGCATTTGTTGTACACGGTTCAACAGCTAATCACTCAGCTTTTCAACTTCCTCAAGTCTCGCAGTGTTGCCAGGTAAAGTCACATAATTTCGGATGGACAGTGGTACCTGTGCACACAACGCTGCTCACACTGCAACAGCCCCAGAGTCTCTGTCACAGACGGAGAAAATAATCTTACACTAAAATAACAAGAACTGAATTTGCAAAGCGTCCCATTCCTATGGATCAATGGGCCTCACACATACACTGGATTTGTATACAGTTTCACATTAAGTGTACTCTGCTGCTGAAGGGGCTGCTCATGTTCCCCTCTCCTCCTCCTCCTCTGAACCTGGGCTGCACACTGCTGCCATCTCCACTGCGCTGGACGAGCATCATGGGATGCACGGTTCAATTTGCTGATCTGCTGGGACAATAAACTATTAATAAACAGGAAGAGAGTCTTCTGTTGGATAATAGGGCTGATTGGATTCATTACATGGCCGTATAAATCACCAGATGCAGGGCACGGAGAGGGAGGGAATCTGTATCTGGAGATGATGAGAAAGGCTGAGAGCACTTCTGCGCACAGCAGCCTGCAGGCATGCTAAATTAGGCTTAGCACTAAACCACATTTTTACATTACTTTACTTAAACGAGCTCAGACCCCTGGATGTGTTCCCTTGAAACTCCTTTCAGTCTGTTTTCTGCATGGTCAGCCTTCATCTCCCAAGTGTTCCCCCTCGTGTTTGCAACTGTTGAATTAATATGATTTTTTTAAAGGGGGGGGGTAAGGAAATAATCACACTTAATTTAATCATTCCACAAAGCAGCACCAGTTTACTGTACAGCAAGCCATAAGGGAATGGTCCTTAAATTTATCAACAAAGAGCAAGCAAATGCTGTAGATGCCTTTGTCCCCGGGGAACAACTCTGACTCCTGTCCCTGTGTCCCCACCGTGCCTTCTCCAGAGCCAGCTCCAGCCGGGGGAGCCAGAGGCTCAGAGTAAGCCTCCAGAAGCCAAGTCTCCCAGCTCCCTCCCCTTTCAGGGCCCAGGATTTTCTGTATTTAAACACATTTTAAAGATCAGCAACTCTGATAAATTTACAAGTCATTTAGCACAGGTGTAACTAACTAAGCAAGGAGCACACCAGCAGCTAACCTGGCCTGCGTACGGAGCAACCACCACTGAGCACAGTATCCTATTAGCAGAAGCATTTGTATCAAGAATTTCACATCCCTTAGTCACAGAAAAGGGAGCTAGAAAGGCTGGAAAGGTTTAATGGAGTGTGCTAGTCTCTCTGCCCTCAAGCTAGGACAAGCCACACCCAAACAGCTCCCGAGACCTGGCTGTCTAACCCGCTCCTAAGAGCTCCCAGGGAGGGAGAGTGCTAACAAAAGGGTCAACATTTCACCAGTTTTTCTGCTTATACAACTTGTCTGCCCTCATACATTCCCAGTGTCTATCTAATACACAAGCAGCGACTATCTAATCACTGTAGACCAAAGATTTTTATTAAATTGTTAATTAATTTCACTTCAGCAGGCTAACTGGCAAACTCTTCTATGCAGGGGGAAAAAAAAAAAAAAAAAAGAGGAAAACCATAATGCACAGCATGTCTGAGCTGTGAAGTGTTTTGTGTTTATTGATCACACTTGGCTTCAAGTGGGTTTTAATGAAGGAAAGCATTTGCATTTTAGAGGTGGATTTTCAAAAGCTCCCCGCACCAGCATCCTTCTGCTCCCACAGAAGCCACCGGTGAAGCCTCCCCTCCAGCGACAGCAGCGTGAGCTTTTGGGAAGCACCGCCTGCACATACAGCAAACAATACCGCTTGGATTACGCAGCTCTGCACAGTATGCATAGGTTGCATATGTTTGGCTCGCTGCCTCTCTTCTCCTCATCCATCATTTACAGGGAGCTGAGATGGAATGAAGGAGCAGACAACCGAAACGCCGCTGGCTTGCAGCTCCCTTCTCTTATCATCGTCAGGCAGTTGTGTGGCTCCAGCTCCACTGCTTTGCAAACTAATTAACCTGATGGTCCCTGCACGCACATGAGAAGTTTATTAGCTTCAGTGGCTTAGTCAGTCTTGCGCTCTCCTCTGCTGCCAGTGCAAAAGGAAAGATCCTCAAACCACACAGTTTCATATGCCTTTAAAATTGGGTGGCGAAAGGGGAAGAGCAAACCAGGACATAGGGTCAACACAACAAACCCAGAGTGAGGAGACCAGAGCTCCCTCCATGCTTTGCCACCAGCCCTTCTGCATCATGCTGGGCAAATCACTTCCTCCTGCTTCTGTCACGGCTTCTGCATGTTATCGCAGCTTTTGCCAGGGCAAAGTTAAAGATGTCTCGTACAATACTTCTAGCAGCATAACAGGGTCCTTCTGATGTCAGGACACAGGGATGTTCTCACAGGGACACAGTCCCAACATCTGTGTTCCACCCGTGAGACAACGCAGAGCAAACCTGAGTGATGGCAAGGGCACGACGGTCAGACCTACCTGCTGGGTTTGGGGGCACCTGGCAAACATCTGCAAACACAGGCAGGTTTGGCCAGATTTCGGCAAGGGTTAAAAAATCACTGGAGCTGTGACAACCACTGCCAGCTGAAGGTCAATACAACTTATATGTGCAAAATAACAATATTATCTCTGAATCTCACTAAGGTTCTAGGAAACAACACACAGGTTCATGAAATACTTTGAGCTCTTCCTACAGGACAGAAAGCGAGAGCAGATGTTCCTGTGAGGAACCTGTGAAGGCCAAGGACCTCTTGGAGCATTTCTCTTCCTGTGCTTGAGGCCCAGGCAGCTCCGCACCATCCTTGCTGATGGATGTCTGCGTTAAGTGCCAAAAGGGACCCCTACAATAGTTCAAAAGCACCTTCAGGGAAAGCACCTTACTCCTGCTACTCCCATCCCCATTTACTCCTATCCTTCCTCCCTCCCCAAGCAGAAGCAGGAAACAGGTTTAGGATGCAATTAACACTGATGTACATCTTTCATCTTAGCAATTATTTTTATTATTTAAATGTGTTTTGTATGGCCAGATTTTGAATGATAAATGAGTCTAAATGAGGGCTGCTGGCACAATGGTATCGTACAGTACCTGCACGCAGCAGTAACCCCTTGGCTACATGGAATATATATACGCAACTAATAAGAGCATTACAATGGAAACCAAGCACAATGACTCAACTCCTGATAAAGTGTTCATTGTTATTATTAGGACTATCCCACAACATGCCAGATGGTTTTCAAACATAATTCTGACTCAGACAGATGCCCTCTGGTGATTCTTGTTCAGGCAACTGAAAGGTATTACCGCATCCGCAGCAGAATTGAAGGTATGCCAGAGCACTTAGCTTAAACTGTCAACAAAGATGTAAAGAAGCTGCAAACAGAAGTGTCAGAGACACGTAAACTTATCCTGTTAAACTATGAAGGTGTAGGAGAAATATTTTGGGGGAAAGCAGTGATGAAGTCTTAATCCACTTCAAAAAATGTCATTAAATGGCATCTGCCAAAGCCAGCCGAGGCAATCTCCACCCTCAGACCCTGGCAGTCTAAAGATTGGCATAAGAACACCAAGGAAAAGAAATAAAAAACTTGCAGTTGCCATTTGCTTTGCCAGTTGTTACAGAAAGAATCTGAAGTTATTGCTTTCCTAGAGCAGACAAACAACAGTTTTCCTTGGAAGGAGAAAGCACAAGTGCAGCTTCTGAAGACAGCAATTTGACCTCCTGAGGGTCTGAGCATGACACAGTGAA